AACCACGGGCCACACATTTGCCACTGACACAATTTCCTCTCTATCTAAGGATCTGCACCGCCGCAACACAATACAGGCATTGTTTGCGAAACCCCAGGCACTAAACACGCGTGGGTTTCCGCTTGATACTTCTACAAAAACTTCATCAAGTCATCTACAGCCGTTGAAGTTTATGGCAGAAGTGGAAAGAATGTGTATAAGGGCTTGAAAAGTGTTTAAAAAGGGTGATAGATAGGGTGATGTAGGCAAACGCATTCTGGATAAAGGGGAATTTCAAGATAAATTCGGATCAGATATCGGGGGGTAATACTACAATGAAAAAAATGCAGTAGAAAAATGTTAATAGTCAAACAAAAAGAAAAGAAAGACGAGGACCAATACAGTAAAACTAAGTACACACACACAGACATTCTTGATCCTCTTTACCTCGCGGTGATCATGCAAACTATAATTTTAGGGAAAGCATTTTTGTGAGCTTCTTACAGTGGGGTTTCCCAGAGACTGTAATTCCCTCTGTCTATAGTCGGCGTCTTCTTCGCTTCCCGTCTGGTCGGCGTCTCCATCATTTCCCGCCTGGTCGGCGTCTCCATCACTTCCCGCCTGGTCAGCGTCTCCATCACTTCCCGCCTGGTCGGCGTCTCCATCACTTCCCGCCTGGTCGGCGTCTCCATCACTTCCCGCCTGGTCGGCGTCTCCATCACTTCCCGCCTGGTCGGCGTCTCCATCACTTCCCGCTTGGTCGGCGTCTCCATCACTTCCCGCCTGGTCAGCGTCTCCATCACTTCCCGCCTGGTCGGCGTCTCCATCACTTCCCGCCTGGTCGGCGTCTCCATCACTTCCCGCTTGGTCGGCGTCTCCATCACTTCCCGCCTGGTCAGCGTCTCCATCACTTCCCGCCTGGTCAGCCTCTCCATTACTTCCCGCCTGGTCAGCGTTCAAGCACCGGTGGAGGCTGGGATTTTACACGTGGACTTCTAATAATTTTCGCAGCTCTCTAGGTAGTAACGATCGGACGCTTGTGTTACTCTGTGTGTGCGTGTGTGTGGTGCAAGAGGATTGGGGTTGGTGGGGGCAGGAGGGGGGGGGGGAGCACATTATGATTAACTAAATGTTTTCAACGTGTCGGTTTATCGCGTTGTATTGTGTGCCGTTACTTCGTCAATGCAGGGTCTTCCACACGTTGACTGCAACGTGGTTATTTTAATTTAAAGTCAGATTATTTAACACGAGATTCCTAACTACTACTGCTACTACCACCACTACCATTACTGCTGCTGCAACTAATACTACTAGTGTTGCCGTTGTTATTCTACTACTACCACTACTACTAATACCGCTACTGCTAATACTACTGCTACTACTACTACTGCCCCCACCATTACTACTGCTACTACTACTACTACTACTACTACTACTACTACTACTACTACTACTACTACTACTACTACTGCTGCTGCTACTATGAGTACCACTTCTGCGTTTGCTGTTAAAGGACGTCTGACACCCTGCGTTGTGAATTACTGCCAGACTGAGACATATGCCCCTATAGACCCAAACTCATCAGCTTTCAGCAATCCTTAAATTGTTGCTTTTTACCTTATGTTTGTTAAGGGGTAGTAAGTACCCCCCCCCCCCCAAGACACACACACGCACACCCACCCCCATACACACACACGCACACCCACCCCCATACACACACACACCCTAACCACCCGTTTCCAAAATAGACTTGAGGTATCAATACTGGGACAGCCATACATATACCATATTTTTCAGTGTACAAGACGTAGTTTTTTTGTTTGTTCTCAAAACAGGCCCTAAAATTAGGCTGTATCTTATACAACAATGTCAGACCTACATGTACTGTCACTTTTCATAGTTATCTGCAGTCTAGCCCCCCTCCCCCCTTCGAAGATCCTGGAATGCCCCTCGTTCAAGCGATAACGATGCGATCTATGAACGAGACAAAGACGAAAACAGAAATAGCAATGGGGAAATGCATGACTGTGGAACCCCTTAATTCTTTTTAAGTAGAAATATTTCATTTCATGACTAAAGGCTGATGTTTATATCAGCTCTTTTGTTTTTACTGGTTACGTGTCCCAGAGAGAGAGAGAGAGAGAGATACAGAGAGAGACTGAGAGAGAGAGAGAGATACACAGAGAGAGAGACTGAGAGAGGGAGAGATACACAGAGAGAGACAGAGAGGGGGAGATACACATAGAGAGAGACCGAGAGAGGGAGAGATACACAGAGAGAGACAGAGAGGGAGAGATGCACAGAGAGAGACTGAGAGAGAGAGACATACAGAGAGAGAAACATACAGAGAGAGAGACTGAGAGCGGGAGAGATACACAGAGAAAGAGAGAGACAGAGAGGGAGAGATACACACAGAAAGAGAGAGACAGAGAGGGAGAGATACACACAGAGAGAGAGAGAGACTGAGATCGGGAGAGATACACACAGAAAGAGAGAGACAGAGAGGGAGAGATACACACAGAAAGAGAGAGAGAGAGAGAGAGAGAGAGATACCCAGAGATTGGTCTATAAAATATAGATCTAGCCCTATAGGCCCAATACGACTGAAGGCGTGGACACGGGTCCTTTACTTATGCGAGGTAGCGTCTTATCTACCGACACGCCCGGCTAGCTAGCGTAGTGGGCTGAACTGGACTGCGCGGTGACCGGGTGACGAACTCCTTGTAGTCCGGGTAGGCCGAAAAACCACATTTCTCACAGATTTAAGTATTTATCATGGAGTAAAGGCCGAAGGGTTGCGATATCCATAATACCGAGCCTAAGACAACTCATGGCTTCTGAATACTCGACACACACACACGGTAGGCATAGTACGTTTTAGAGGTCCTGCCGAACTTTACAAATCTTTAAATCAGTAAGCGTTTGGTGTCAATTGTTGAAACGTGTCACGCAACCTGATGATAATCACCTACTTGTAAGAATTTTTGTTTTTAATGACCCAAAAAAAAAAATATATATAGTTTTAATTTTTTTCCGAATAAGCGGTGCATACTGACACCGATTCAAAACAAACAAATCAGCACGCTTACAATTAATTGATTATGGATTTTTTTTCTCAAAACATCAAACTGCACTCGTTTCATTGGCGTCTTACTCTCATGTGGTCATCTCCAGCAATAGTCTCCGGTGAGTTGCAGATTTTTCATTGAGTGGAGCATAGGCTATCAAAACAATCCACACGCATCGTTGCACATGTGAAAAGATTTTCAAATAATCTCCACACGTGTTTCAATTACTGTATATTCTATCTCCCTGTAAAGGTTCCGGGGCCCTATTACAGGGAAAACAAGAATAGACCCACTGCCTGCCCAAAAGCATGTCGTTAAAACCGGCTAACTGGGAGCTTCTTTCGAAGTCAGAGTGAATCTGCCTGAGAGGCAAGGAAGCATCAGTCTGCATACAGAAAGTCAAATCTGTTAAACGGACACACATGCAACACTCAGGTTCTGGAACAGGACTACAGTCCAGAAGTGGACGACAACCAGAAATTTTCGTCGGAGTTTACAGCTGGTGAACGCGAAGAAGAAGAAGAAGAAGAAGAAGAAGAAGAAGAAGAAGAAGAAGAAGAAGAAGAAGAAGAAGAAGAAGAAGAAGAAGAAGAAGAAGAAGAAAGTATTTTCTATTTTCTAGGGGTAAAGGAAATATAACTGTATGTTCTATTTTTCCGGGGTACACACAATATTAGTCAAACAAAGATCAGAGAAATTCGCAAAAGTAAAAAAAAAAAAAAAAAACAGCAATTGTAAATGGTAAATCTAAGGCCACATGCGATTGATTCGGTTGATTCATACAATAGATTTTCGAGATATTTGTTGTGACGGCATGAGTTTTCAAACGTACTATATTTGTAGGTTGGAAGTCGCCGTGCCGTAGCGGCTAGACGCTCGCCGTGGATCAGAAGGTCGTGGGTTCGCTCCCCGGCGGAGCCGGATTTTTTCTAAAAATGATCTTGGCTCCCAGGTTGACCCAGCCTTGAGTAGGTACCAGGTGCAGTCCCGGGAAGTAAAGGCGGCCAGCGCGATGCTGACCACAACTCCCACCAAGTGCCGATCAGTCTATATGAAAATGTAGGTTTAGCCCTACATGCCTTATAGAGGCGTGGGAAAGGGCCCTTTACTTTACTGACTTATAGTTGTAGGTTAGTGAGTCTAGAGACCAGAATGTCACAAGATGTTACTCAGTACGGAAATTGGAGTAATTGCTGATTCTCTATCCCCGCCAAGACAGGACTGCAGGTTACATGATAACCATAGGACGTCTTAATATCACGGTGTTATACAGCTTAAAGGGGTTTACGGCTTATAAGTGCAGTTCATCGTCGACGGAAGCAGCAACTGCAACAGATAGGTAGCTGCACACGCAATTAATCGCATAAGACACCACAAAGTTCTATGATAACCAGCCATTCGTCATTTTCGGAATCTGTAGTTCACAACACAAAACCACGCTGGGCACAGTTGAAAAGCATTCCCACATGAAATCTGCAGCTCACAGTGTCGCATAAGAAATGATGCACGGGGTCGGGATCACAAAGCTAGTTGGCATGTCCCTCGATGATGACGAGGATTGCGATGAGAATGACGATGATGTCATGTTTATCGTTGGTGTTAATTTTTAAAAAAAAACACTTCATGGCAAATGCAGTCTGTGAGTAAGAAACATAAAAAAAAAAAAAAAAAAAATGAAAATCTCTGTATGTAACTTGCTTGTTGTACCCCACCAGGACATCACATAAGCGATAAACACCCGGTGACACAACGCACCACCATGCGGATGAGGATCACCCGTATAGAGAGGTCCCAGAACCCCTTTTCTACCGTTATGGTCATATTTATGGCCCGGCTATATTTAGGGCCCCCAGCAAAAGCCAGGGTGGGACTTCAAATAACGAAAAGTTGCATCCCACATGAGGACGACAGTTGTGATGTAATATATTGTATGTTACAATGTACCATACATACCTCAACTCCGCCGTATTGATGGAAAAGATGGGTGTACTCTGTTAGATGTAAGGCATCCAGCCAGGTCCCTATAGGAATGTGTCGACCCGACATTCTCTTCTTCCGGCGGTAATCAGAATCCAGGACTTGCCTGCAACAAGACAAAATATACATACAGTAAACTTTCAACGGAACAACATATTGTGTTTTCAGTAAGCCAGTTAGCGTTAACTATTTTTTCAGCCCCGTTTATTAAACTATGCTGTAACTAATTATTCTTTTAAAAACCTTTAAAAAGGGGAGATAATTATTTTGCCTTTTATAAATTTGTTTGACATTGCTTGTTTCCCTTCTTAATAATTTATATTATTGCAGCAGTATATCTTAATCAGAGTCTGTGGCTTAGGCGTTGCAAACGAGCTTCGTAATGCCGAGATGCCGGGTTCGATCCAAGCCGTGGGCCTTGCGCCTTGCGTTGGTTTTGACAGTGGTATCGAGAAGCCGATCGCCCAGAAGCAATGGCAAACTACTGGACGTAAACTTGCCTAGAAAAACCACAATAGCCAAAAAATGCCGGGATTGGTTCTGCAATGTCCTGTAAGGGATACGCGACTAACATAACATTGTATATTTATATTTTAATGTCAAATCAGTACTGTTGTATGGAGCGGAAACACGGAGGACAAATAATGCAATTACTAATCAACTACAAATAATTATTAACTGGTGGTGTCTGCGCAGAATAGAGACAATTATATGGTATGATAGAATCACTAATGTAGAGCCTTGGGAGAAAACCAGACACGTTTCCATGGGCCAGGGGGTGAAGAAAAGAAGCTGGCGTTGGATAGGACACACGTTGAGAAAACTTGATAACAATGTAATTAGAATGCCTTTTGCAGTTGAACCTACAGGCACATACAAACAAACAAAGACACACACACACACACACGCGCGCGCACGCACACACACACACACACAAATAAAAAACGAAGAATGGAGCTAGAGAGTGAAAAAAAAAGACAGAGAGCACGAGGGATAAAACCACTTGGCGTGAGCTGGTTAAAGACCTATTCGCATTGGAGGACAGCAGGCAGAGAGCAGGAGGGATAGAACCACCTGGCGTGAGCTGGTTAAAGACCTATTCGCATTGGAGGACAGAAGGCAGAGAGCAGGAGGGATAAAACCACCTGGCGTGAGCTGGTTAAAGACCTATTCGCATTGGAGGACAGAAGGCAGAGAGCAGGAGGGATAGAACCACTTGGCGTGAGCTGGTTAAAGACCTATTCGCATTGGAGGACAGAAGGCAGAGAGCAGGAGGGATAGAACCACCTGGCGTGAGCTGGTTAAAGACCTATTCGCATTGGAGGACAGCAGGCAGAGAGCAGGAGGGATAGAACCACTTGGCGTGAGCTGGTTAAAGACCTATTCGCATTGGTGGACAGCAGGCAGAGAGCAGGAGGGATAGAACCACCTGGCGTGAGCTGGTTAAAGACCTATTCGCATTGGAGGACAGAAGGCAGAAGAAGAAGAACATATTTCATATTTGCCTGGCAGTGATGATTTATAAGCCTACTGTTACACAAATTCTAATTTTAAAAATCGTCAATGTAAGCCTCTATCCGTGTTAGTAAGTATATAAGTTTTACCCGCTGACTCAAAGTGCCACAAGGCGGATGAGAATCACCCGTGGAGATGTCTCAGAAACCCCGTTCAACCGTTAGGTTATATTAGGGCCCCCTGGCAACAGCCAGGGTGGGGATTAAAAAAAAACGAAAAATTCTATCCCTCAAGAGGAGGACGGTTAATAACTAATTTGTGTTAGCTGCAAAACGACGGTTAATAACTAATTCGTGTTAGCTGCAAAACGACGGTTAATAACTAATTTGTGTTAGCTGCAAAACGACGGTTAATAACTAATTCGTGTTAGCTGCGAAACGACGGTTAATAAGAAATCTGTGTTAGCTGCAGTTGTTGTATAGTACAGATATTAGCCCCGGCTGGCAAAAAAAACCAGATGAAAGCTTTAACTGAAGAAATCAAAGACATTCCGCACTAGCCTGCTCCTTCTACCCCTTCTTTTTGATCATCCTCAAAAGAACAGTTGTATTACGTTTGTAGATAGGCTGCAATATTTGTACCTTTCTGCTCACCACATTCGATTTCAACATACCTTTCTTTTGTTTGTGCCGGGTCGGTCTCCCTCCATAGGAAACCCCTCGGCAGAGAGTTGTCTTTGTGAGAAGGCTCTCGCCGTTTTGGTTACACCCACGTGTTCGGGACCGATCCAGGCCCCCCCCCCCCCCCCCCTGGTCAGACCAAGTGCAGCAGAGCTACACTTTGATCTTGGCCGAAAGACCGAGTATCTCTAACGAGTCGCCGTTTATGATGTTTTTTTTTAAGCAGCAGAGGTTTTTTCTTTCACTTCTCTCAAACTGGACGTCGGAACACACGATAAATTTGCTGCACAAAACAACGCATACACACACATAGACAGACAGACAGACAGACAGACAGACAGACAGACAGACAGACAGACAGACAGACAGACAGACAGACAGACAGACAGACAGACAGACAGACAGACAGACAGACAGACAGAGACAGAGAGAGAGAGATAGAAAGATAGATAGATAGATAGATAGATAGATAGATAGATAGATAGATAGATAGATAGATAGATAGATAGATAGATAGATAGATAGATAGATAGATAGATAGATAGATAGATAGATAGATAGATAGATAGATAGATAGATAGATAGATAGATAGATAGATAGATAGATAGATAGATAGATAGATAGATAGATAGATAGATAGATAGATAGATAGATAGATAGATAGATAGATAGATAGATAGATAGATAGATAGATAGATAGATAAATTAGATATATGGATAGATAAATAGATGTATGCCTGCTAGTCTGTCTATCTATCTATCTATATATATATATATATATATATATATATATATATATATATATATATATATATATATATATATATATATATATATATATATATATACAGATAGTTCGATCGACAGTGGCTTACTGTAGTGCTCGTAGAAAAAGAAGAGATCTCACGAACCGACCAGAAGTGAGACCGGGGTGCGTTCGCGTTCTGTCATCACTACTGTTCATCACATAGTCGACCAAATTTGCAAATCAGCTAACGCCAGCGAGGCAGTCAACATCGGAGAATTATTAAATGAATTGCTTTTCGCTATGACCAAGCAATCATTGCACCAACAGCAGTAAACTACAAGAACATTTTAACAAACTCCACTTAGAGTGTGACAATTACGATTTAAAGATCAACGTAGACAAAACAGAAGTGATGACATTCTCCAGAAAAGGAAGAACTTCACCAGTTAAAGCAGACGAAGCATTTTACATATCTGGAAAGCTTTTTTTTTTTTTTTTCAGAGGACGGAAGAATCAATAAAGAAATCCAGCAAATATGCAATAAAGCCAATCAAGTTTTAGGCCAAATGGCACCAAATTTGAAATGCAAGCATGTGAATATGAACATTAAAAGAGCATTGTTCAACACAATATTTTTACCAACGCTATGCTAACAATGTCAAACATGGTCACTGTCTTCAGAAGGCAGAAGGAAAATAGTCAAAAGAGAAATGAAATGTTTACGCACTATACTAGGTGTAACAAGGAAAGAACGACTTAGGAATGATATCAGGAGGAGAGTCGCCAAAGAACCAATACTACATTTTAAAGGTAGACAACAAATCTAATGGTTTGGCCATGTAACAAGATTGACATGAGACAGGGCACCACAGAGAGCAATGTTATGCAGATACAGAGGCTACAGGGCCAGAGGTCGACGACGCAAAACATGGACCGCAGAATATCACTGAAAAGCGAACAGACAGATTCGTTCCAGAGATCTCTTCTTGCCCTGATGCCGCGAGGCATTCTATAAGTAGGTGAAAGAAGAATATATATATATATATATATATATATATATATATATATATATATATATATATATATATATTCACACATATAAAAGACCCGTTTAACATTAACTGGCGCATCGAATAAGGTGATCATAGATCTATATTTTCGAAGACCAGCAAGCCTACACACGCCAGTGAAATACACACACAATCAAAGGATACAGTAAAAACACATACACCCTAATGCTACTGACAAAAACACATACACCCTAATGTTACTGACAAAAACACAGACACCCTAATGTTACTGGAAAAAAAACACAGACACCCTAATGTTACTGACAAAAACACATACACCCTAATGTTACTGACAAAAACACAGACACCCTAATGTTACTGACAAAAACACATACACCGTAATGTTACTGACAAAAACACATACACCGTAATGTTACTGACAAAAACACATACACCCTAATGTTAGTGACAAAAACACAGACACCCTAATGTTACTGACAAAAACACATACACCGTAGTGTTACTGACAAAAACACAGACACCCTAATGTTAGTGACAAAAACACAGACACCCTAATGTTACTGACAAAAACACAGACACCCTAATGTTACTGACAAAAACACAGACACCCTAATGTTACTGACAAAAACACAGACACCCTAATGTTACTGACAAAAACACAGACACCCTAATGTTACTGACAAAAACACAGACACCCTAATGTTACTGACAAAAACACAGACACCCTAATGTTACTGACACAAGAGCCTTGTGGTGCTAAACCCATATTTTATAGACCAATGGGCACTGGTTATGTCACGTCAACACGTCTGTTTGTGTCCTTTACTTCCCAAGATATTTCCTGATAACCATCTACCCCCTCCCCCCCCCCCCCCCTCTCCACCGAATTGACTGGGCCCCGGGTCAATTATACAAATGTAACTATTACGTTCTCTATAAGTGAAGTCTCGAAAAGTACACGGAAGTAAACACAGCTGACCTACTTATATCTATCTAGTTACATCGAAGGGCGAACGTAACACAGCTGATAATAATAAATCGCATATTTTTCACACAAACCTCAAAAGATCCCGATACGGGAATGAGTCAAATTTAGAATCCATGTGTGTGGCATCCGCTCAGTTCTCAACTGTGTATACGGAACATCTCAGCCAAATTTCTAACTCTTGACGTTTTTATATCTGCCATTCA